GGGGGAGCCACTCACAGCTGCTCTCTGGGGAGGGTTCTCCAGTCCGCTGTGCACTCACATTCAACCGGTGTCGGTGAATCACTTGGCGGGGGTGGGACAGATCTCCCCAGCTCAGATTCATCTCATGAGTAGGAGCTGGTGGAGACTTGTCCATGGAAACACCCTGCACCGCACTGAACCCCACCCTGCCCTGGGCTCACATTACCCCACAAAGTCAGGGCCTGTGTGGGATCTGCTGGCTGGACTGGGCTGCGCAGGGCCCAGCAGGGGGAGGGATGGTGGAGGGTAGGGGGGGGACAGATCTCCCCAGCTCAGATTCATCTCATGAGTAGGAGCTGGTGGAGACTTGTCCATGGAAACACCCTGCACCGCACTGAACCCCACCCTGCCCTGGGCTCACATTACCCCACAAAGTCAGGGCCTGTGTGGGATCTGCTGGCTGGACTGGGCTGCGCAGGGCCCAGCAGGGGGAGGGATGGTGGAGGGTAGGGGGTCTCTGTCCCAGAAGTGAGCACCAGCCAAGCACCCCATGTGCACTGGGCACCTCTGCAGAGACTCCCCACAGCAGCAGTGTCACCCACAGAGCTCCCATGTCCAGGGCTGGGAGCTTCCCCCACAGCAGTGCCCAGGGCTGGGAGCTTCCCCCACAACAGTGCCCAGGGCTGGGACCTTCCCCCACAGCAGTGTCCAGGGCTGGGAGCTTCCCCCACAGCAGTGCCCAGGGCTGGGAGCTTCCCCCACAACAGTGCCCAGGGCTGGGACCTTCCCCCACAGCAGTGTCCAGGGCTGGGAGCTTCCCCCACAGCAGTGCCCAGGGCTGGGAGCTTCCCCCACAACAGTGCCCAGGGCTGGGACCTTCCCCCACAGCAGTGTCCAGGGCTGGGAGCTTCCCCCACAACAGTGCCTAGGGCTGCAACCTTCCCTCCCAGCTGTCTCCCCCTGCTGCTGGAGAGCTGAGCCCCACCCCGATGTGTCTGATGCCAGGACCTGCTACTCACCAGACAGGGGGATGGGATGCGATTTCTTACATGAAAACTCCCCCAGGTTTGTAACGTTCCTGCCAGCTGGGACCCCACAGCCCCACAGCAGCACCGATGCCCCGTCCCATCCCACTGTGGGAGCCAGAACTGGGGGGTGAATCTGACCTGCTTTGGTCCCAGGAGCTCAGTGACTGGCTGCATCTCACCCCCTGCATGGAGCAGACCCCCGGCCCTGGGCCCAGCAAACAGCATCAGCCTGGGGGGGCTCACCTGTTACTGCTCTGGGGATGTTTTGGCTTCTCTCCGATACGAACTCTCTCCCATTCACACTGCGCCAGTATTCACAGCTGTACACGCCTGCGTTCGACATGGCCACACTCGACAGCTGGATGGAGGCCGTAGAGCCGTTGCGGATTGATGGAATTTCCTGGGGTTGGATTTTCTCTCCATCCCTGTAGAAACGGATCCCAGACAGATTGGGCACCCCGGCAGCTGAGCACGTCAGGGTCACGTCTTCCCCAGTGACGTAGACAGGCCGCAGAGGGGACACAGTGAGCTGGGGGGCTGGAAAAGACAAGAGGGTCGGGGGAGGAGATGGTTCCTATGTGGGTGGCTGATGACAGAGGCAGAGGAGGAGCCAAGGGAGGGCAGAGCCGGGAGGGATCCTGGGCACAGACCCCAGCCAGCCCCAGCTCCATGCCCAGGAACCACGTCCCCGCCAGGCCAGGCAACCCCTGAGCAGCAGAGATCTCCCTGTGGGACCCAGTGGGACCAGGCTCCCCTGCTGGGTAAATGAGGGGGTAGCTCAGCCAGCATTGACTGGGGGGGCTTGTGCAGCTGAAAGTGGAGGCACAGACCAGGCTGCCCTGCAGTAAGTGCAGGTGCCAGTGACGGGCCTCACAGCCCTGGGTGGCCCTGGGGAGCATCACACACCCCAGCTGGGATCGGCCCCATTGACCCCAATGGAGCTACGGCCCATTAACCCAGCTGGGATCGGCCCCATTGACCCCAGTGAAGCTACAGCCCATGACCCAGCTGGGATCGGCCCCATTGACCCCAGTGGAGCTACAGCCCATTGACCCAGCTGGGATCGGCCCCAGTGACCCCAGTGGAGCTACGGCCCATTGACCCAGCTGGGATCTGGATGATTTGCTTTGCCATTCTCTCACAATCTGTGCTGAAGTTCAGTAGCTGTCACAAGAGACCTGGAGAAAGTGGATATCACTGAATTGGTGACTAGTGAGCATGGATAAGAAGACAGACAGACAGACAGACAGACAGACAGACAGATAGATAGATAGATAGGTGGGATGTTTGGTGATAGATAAAAACATAAGAACGGCCGTACTGGGTCAGACCAAAGGTCCATCTAGCCCAGTAGCCTCTCTGCTGATAGTGGCCAGTGCCAGGTGCCCCAGAGGGGATGGACCGAAGATAATGATCAATTGATTTGTCTCGTGCCACCGAT